AGGGGGGGGGGGGGGGGGGGGGGGGTGGGGGGGGGGGGGGGGCCCGGGGGGCTCAGGCTGGGTTTCCAGGCACAGGCACCTGGCAGTTTTGGCAGCTGGAGGCCTGGGGGCTGGCGGCAGGAGGAGGTGGAGTTTGGTCCCTTCTTGCGGGGAGGGGACACCCCCGGTTGAAGCCCTGAGCAGCTCTGGGGTCCGAAGCTGGCCCCCAGTGCCACCCCCACTCTGGGCCACCTGCCACCCAGAGCCCTACTTCCTCATCTGCGGGACAGGGTGACCCCCCAGCCACCCCAGTCAGGGAGGGTCCGAGCAGGACCGCACATCTGTAGGCACAGGCACGGTGCAGGCACCAAGAGAATTAGACATGCAGAGCCAGCCTGTCCTGTGGAAACGCCCACCACTGCGGAGGCCACGCGCCGGCCAGGCCTCTGGGCCACGGGGGGTGGGGAAGGGGCAAAAAAACTGCTCTGCACCGGGAGACAGGGGCCCAGGGGCTCAAGTGCTCAGGCAGCGAGGCCTCGAACCCGGGGCTGGCTGGCGGTCCTGCCTCCCAGTGTAGAGGGAAAACGCTAGAGAAGTGCCTGTGTCTCCAGCTGGTGCCTGGATGTGCCAGCGGTCGCCAACCTTTCGGACCTCACGGACCACCAGTGGTCTGTGGACCACCGGTTGGTGACCTCTCCCAGGACCAGGCCCTGCCTCCCAGGCCATTGGGACAGAGGCAGGCGGGCCGAGGGGCAGGGGCGGGGCACGCTCCCACCCAGGAACCTCCACCAAGACTCGGTCTGGAGATACAAGCTTGCGCTGACCTTCCCAGGCTAACCAAGGGCAGGTGGGGGGCAGATGCCATGCCCAGGAGCCCCGAGGGACCTACCCCAGGGCGCTCACCTGCTCAGAGCTCTGGGAGCCTGAGGGTCCCTGGGGGCCTCGGGCCAGGCGAGGCTGGGGTGGGAGATGGTGTCTGGGGCGGGGACAGTCTGGGCTGGGCCAACTCCATGTTCTCCTGCCAGCGCCCCAGGCCGCCTGCTGGCTTGAGTGCAACCAGTAGCCGAATGTGGGTGCCCTGGGGTGCCGATAAGGTGGAGGCTTTCTGTCCACCCACTGATCGGAGGGAGCCCCGTTTCTGCTGAGTGACCCCTGGGTGCGGGAAGGGGTGATGAGCTTAAGGAATCTGAAAGGGAGTGAGAGGAAGGAGGCAGAGAGCGGGAGTGTGTTAGGGTGAGCAGGAGGCGGGCTCGCGAGCGATGGATGAAGCGGATGGAGGCAGCGGGCAGGCGGGCGGCAGGCAGGCAGTGCACACTTGCGGTCCATTCACAGTGTGGACGTCACGTTCTGTCTCCGCCCCAGCGGGCCACAGCGGCAAAGCAGGCTAAGTGTAGGCAGACTTTCGGCAGCGCCTGGGTCCCCCACATCAGGTCCCCTGGGGTGGCGGTGGGGGCTGGCTGGCTGGGGACTCGGGGACGGACAGGGGCCAGCCTGCCCTTCTGCGGCTGCTCAGGTGTGGAGGCTCCAGAACCCGCTGCCCCCGGGCGTCTCCACCGCAGGGTCCGGCGGGGAGGGCTGGCTCTGGTTTCTGGATGTCGGAGCGTCCGCATCAGACCCCAGAGAGCCAGCGCAGCCCGGTCCCGGCACCCTGAGCTGGAGGAGTGTTCGAAAGGCAAAAGCCAAAGGAAGGGGTGCGCCCGTCACAACTGGGGGCCACAGGTCCCGTGGCCTCCCAGGGCCCTCCCGCCTCCCCTCTGAGCCTGGAGAATTCCTGGAGAGTGCTTGCTTTGAAAAGTTCATAACGGGTGATATGGGACCTTGCAATCAGAGCCCTAGATGACATCTGTAGCTAAATTAAGATAATGTCTAAAAAGCCTCTTGGAGCTGTCCACACCTTGCCAAGGGCGGGGAGAAAAAGCCCCCAGGGAAATGCAGAGGAACTTTTATTTTAAAAAACAAAACCAACAAAAAATACCCCTCCTGGCTCTGTATGTGGGGTTGGCTGCTGTGACTTGGTTTCCAAAACCTGATCGATAAATGCCAAAGCGACCCGCTGCTGCCATCGCCGATGGGGGCAGCCCCGAAGAGGGAGGTGCAGGGGGACACGAAGAAGAGGGTGTGCCTACCTACGGACCAACGAGCCAGGCTCGACCCCAGCTCAGTGACCCGCGGCGCCGTCTGCCCTACTCCCAGCCTTCGCTTTGCGTCCGAGTGCAGCGTGAGAGCAAATGCAAGAGACCAAAACAGACATTCAAAGCATCATGGGTAGGGGTCAAGGGTGAAGGTATGGTCAGGCTGCTGGGGGAGAAAGCAGACACACTAGAAAAGCCAAGCCAATTAGGGGTTTAGTATCAGGTGTCAGTAAGGCCCTATTACGCAAATATCCCTGCGGAGACCTACGGCCCCTGCGCAGTGGGCCCCTCCCCTCCCGCCACACTCCCCTATCTGTCCTGGTCTGAGGTCCCGGGGCCAACGGCCCCTTGCTGGACCCAGGGGACTGCCGGCTTCTCTACGGAGTCTGAGCTGAGGCAGGGGAGCCCCAAAGCTTGGAAGCTGGTGCCCTGGCTTTAAGGGGCAGGGGAGTGTGTGGAAGGGAGCATGTGGAAGGGAGGTGGCTTGGGGATCCAAGTCCAGGGGAGAGGAGGAGGAAGGTGGGGAGGGTGGTGGCAAACCAACCAGGAGGGGCCACGTGGCCAGGATGGAGGCGGCCTCGGGAAACCAGGCTGGCTGGCAAGTTGCCCAGGAGAATGCGCGCCCCAAGGCCGCCTGGCTTCCTGCTGTGCCATCTGCTGGTCACCCAAAATGGACCTGGGCCATCCAGAGGGGAGGTGTGGGAGGAGAGGTGGACCAGGAGTGAGAGCGCGAGGCTGGAATCGGGCAGCACTCGGACCCCAGGGCTGAGCCAGGTCCTGTCCCGGCGGCTGACATGCCTGGGCCTCCCGTGGGGGCATCGGGTCTCGGCTCTGCCCCCCAGGGGATGCCACCCGGGAGCTGGGGTCCCTGTGCGGATCCACCCGGAGCAAACCCTCGCCCAGGCCAAGGCGCACTGGAGCCTGCCCTGGGGGCGTGACTCTGACCCTGTTTTGTAAGTGAGGCCCCGGCTGAGCTGGACTCGCGGGCCATGCTCTCTCCACAGCGCTACACTTTGCCCCTCGCTTGCAGGTGATCTTGGCCCTGCACTGCCTACCAGCTCCTCCTGGCGGAAATGTGTGTTAGGGAACAGGGGGTTGTGGGCATTTTTAAAGCACTGATGCAGAGGAATTGAGCTTTAGGAAAATAAAAGACAGACAAGCAGCTAAAAAAAAAAAAAGATGATGCTGGAGGTGAAAGCAGTTGACTTTAAACCTGAACATGAAATGCATGCCAGCAGCTCCCAGGGATATTTGAATAATAGGGAAAAGCAGCGACTGCGTTACTCCGTCTCTACCCCTTCCGGGTGGGGGAGGGGAGGGGAGGAACAAATGGGGGCAGCGGCACCTAACGGTCTAAGTGAGGACACAGCAAGAGAGACAAGGCACACGGGTTTAGTTAAAAAAGAACTCGATATGTTTAATAAAGCTCGGTGTTACCAAAATCCAGGTACAAACATCAAGTCACACGCCCACACGACAGTTCCATTTACAAAACGTCCCTGGGAGGCCCCTGCCAAGACCCCCACCCCGGCCTGCGGTCCAGGGGACAGGGAGGCCAGAATGGGGTGGCGGAGGGGGGAGTGGAGGAAGGTGAAGACTAAAATCAGTCCGTATAAAAGCTCAAAAAGAGCCAGCCGTGGTTATCACAATGATACAGGCACAAATGCACCCGGCAGAGGCTGTACGGCAGGCTACGCTGCCAAGACCCCAGACGGCCGCCCAGCAGCGCCATCGCTCGCACCCGCACCTGGCTCGCTCACGCACGCACGCTCACTCACTCTCTCTCTCTCACTCACACACTCTCGCTATAAAACACGGAAGGGGTGTGTGTTTGGAGCTAGTAACCTTGGTCAAACGAGTCCTCCGAAGAATCGCTGAAGGAGGAGCGGGCCTCGACCTCCCGCAGCAGCAAACAGAACGGCTGCTTCCTGCCCGCCAGCTTGGGCTTCAGAGTCCGGGCGGCCGCCAGGCCCCTCTTGGGCAGCTTGGGGCCCCCGGGCGGCTTGCTGCTCTTGGCCACCATGCCACACAGGAGGGAAGATGTCAGCTTGGAGCCGGAGGGGCCTTGGGCGGACCACTCATCCTTCAGGAACTCCTCCTCCTCCTCCGAGTCCGTATCTGCAGTCAAGGCAGTTTGTAATAAGGTAAGTCAGGGGCGGGGGCGGGGAGGGGCTGGCGTCTGTCTGGTTATGCAGTGAGCGCCCTGGTGCTGCAGCACAGAGAGGCCCAAGGCCTACTGGCCGTGGAGCAAGCGGCGGGCACCTCTCGCCTGGGAGCCGCGGGCACCGCACACAGCACAGTCACCTGGGCACACCGCCCTCCCAGGCCCCGGGCGGGAGGAGCCGCTCTCAGCAAGGTCTCTCCCAAGCCACGGAGATCACGTCGGTCCCCGCTATCCCACAGGACGGCACCAGCCCAGGGAGGGGCAGGCCCAGGAGGGGAAGGGCTCAGGTACAGCTCCCCTTCCCCTCAAGTGCCAGCTCCCAGGGGTGCGGGGCCGGCGTGGGCACTCAGCCGTGCACACCTCTTCCCACTGCCGCTCAGCAATGTCACAGTGGGGGCTTGAGACAGGCCAGACACAGAGTCCCACCAAAGACATTGGCAAATGATGCTCCTACTTGCTTCCTGTTTTCCTACCAGAGAGCCGGTCACCGCCCCCCCCCACTGCTGCTGGCACCCCAGTCTCGGCCTCACTACTGGGCGAGGCCAAGATCTCCAGCTCAGGAGGACCCCAGGCTTTGGGGAGGGAGCTGTCAAGTGGGCATAGCTCTGGCGCCTCCGCCCCGCCTCAAACATGCACAGTTCTGACCCGTGTTACTTATGGGCTGTCGAGCAAGACCTCACTGAAGAAAGGGCTCTGCAGCCAGAACCCGCTCCCGTAACCTGGCCAAGTCCACCTGGAGCACGGCTGCAGGGGCATCAGTGAACACAGCTACAGCACGGCTCTGCCGGCCAGCTGCAAGGCCGAGAGCAACCGCTCCGGGGGAGGGGCGGTCCTCCGGCTACTCCTCCAACATCTACGCCTCCCACTCCCACCGAGACCCAATGCGGGTCGGCCCGCAACTCTGGGAAGGACAAAGACAAGGATGAGCCCTGCCAGGCCCCGCCAGGCCCCTGGCCGTAGCTCTGCCCTCTGTGAGCTCCATCCCAAACTGGGTAACAATGGCCAACCTGGCTTCCCACCAGGCATGCCACCCACCCTACCCCCAGAAGTGACAGGGCAGGAGGGCAGGGCTCTCCCCTCCCCTCTCCTGCGGGGGCAGCACAGCTCGCCAGAGCACCCCTGGCCTCCGTGACTCGCTCTCCTTCACCCAGGCCGGCGGAAGGGCCCATGCAGAAAGCAGAGGAGCGCTCGCCACCGCCAGCTGCACGCCTGCACCACCTCGCCCGCGACGGGCCTCTGGCCTCCCTGGCAATGCTAGCCCATCTCCCTCACTGGACAGCGAAGACGCAACCGAGTCAGACCGGCAACCTGAACGCGGCCTGTGCACGTGCACACAGCTGCTCCGCGGGCTCAGCGGCTGGCAATGCTAGCCCACCTCCCTCACCCGGACAGCGAAGACGCAACCGAGTCAGACTGGCAACCTGAACGCGGCTTGTGCACGTGCACACAGCTGCTCCGCGGGCTCAGCGGCTCAGACTGGCCCCAGGGCTCAGGGGCCAAGCTCAGCCCTGGCCTCTAACTGCACCACGTCCAGTGGGAGTGGGGGAGGAGGGACTCTCCAGGCGACCAGCCTGGCACGTCCAGCAGCCTCTGCCCGGAAAGATTCAAGGAGCAGCAAGCCTCCTGACCCTTCTTCGTTCCAGACCCAGCCGGGGCGGGCACGGGGTTAAAGGCTTCCATCCTGAGTCTCTGAAAGCGGCCGGGGCCTGGGCAGCGCGGTCAGATCACATCTGCGAGCCGAGGGGGCACACGCGGGCTCAGCCTCAGCACCCGGGGCAGACGGCGGGGTTAAAGGCTTCCATCCTCCTTCGGGGCTATGAGTCTCTGAAATCGCCGGGGCCTGGGCAGCTCGGCCAGATCACATCTGCGAGCCGAGGAGGCACACGCGGGCTCAGCCTCAGCACCCGGGGCAGACGACCTGCCTGCCTCACGCCCACCTGAGACCCAGCCCTGAAGACCCACTAGACCCGGGTCACCGAGCCCAAAAGCAGCAGTGCTCCACCTGCAAGGCGCATGCCCGCTCCTCACCAGCCTGACTCCCTCCAGCTCGCCACAGCCCCGCGAGGTCCGACCCAACTGTCCTTTCTTGGCCCGAGAAAACTCACTTGCTTGTAACATGAAAGGTGCCCGTTCCAGTGCTGGACAGTGAAACTCCATCGCCCCGCGGACCCAGGAAGAGCCCATCAGAAGCCCAGGCGCAGACCCAAGTGGTCACCAGTGAAACAGCCTCCACCGCCCACAGCCGGGACCTGCACAGCCACCCCCACGGGCGCAGGCGCCAGGAGCCCCGTTGTGCTTCCCTGCAGCCGCCACGCCCAGTGCCCATCCATCCTGGGCACCAGGTACCCCGCCCACCAACACCGACACCGGTTACACGCCAGGCCTTGGAGCGGGCGCCACAGGCCGGGAGAGGCGCCGGGCGGACCCGTGACTGCCCCGAGCTCCCAGGTGCTCCCGGGCTCAGCCGCCATCGGCACCAAGCAGCGACCGTCCTGGGCCTGATCTTGGCCCGACTCCCGCACCCAGCGCAGCCGACCTCGCCGGCCTCAGCATCTATCTTCAGGGGCAACAGGGCGGCCGGCCGCCTGGAAGGCCGTCACCAGGACAATGTGAAATGCCGCCCGCACAGCCCTTCATCCGCTCCCGGCCTGGTGAGCGCCCATTAGACGGTAGCACCAACCCTCGGCTGGGAGCCGCCTGCTGGCCGGGGAGGCGGGATCCTCTCTATGGTCATGGGCGGCCGCTCTAGGCAGGGCAGCCGGAAACTCTGTGGCGCAAGGCCTCCGCCTTCACGGCTTTCCGGAAGGCCAGCGCCAGTGGAGGCGGACTTCCGCCCCCACCACCAATCACTGGTGGCCGCCCAATAGGGCCGCAGCCACTGCAGGCACTTCCGCTTCAGGGGGACCCACTTCCGGCCTGGCGCCAGTGCAGAGGCAGAAGACCTCGGAGAACCCCAGACAGACAGACAGACAGAGGAGAGGAGCGAAGCGGCGGCCCGGAGGCGGCCGGCACCCGCTACTTACTGTAGGAGTAGCTGCTCGCTTCCGAGGCGAACGGGGAGGGGGCCGACTTGGGCTGGCCGCGGGCCTTGAAGCCCACCTCCATCTTCCTGGCTTTGGCGGCCCGTTTGTGTTTACCTTCTCTGGCGGCTTTGAGAGACAGGCCGAGGCCTTTGGCCAGCGCCCTCCTGTCCTTGCCCAGCAGGCTGTCATACGGCGTCAAGTACCGGCCGCAGCCCGCGCCCGGCTTGGGCTTCCCCCCACAGCTGTCTGAGAACTTGAAGGGGGACTTCAGCTTGTCCTGCTTGGTGAGGGAGAGGGCCTTGTCCAGCTTGCTTGCCAGCTGCTCCTGGTCGCTGGCCATCTTCTTCTTCTTGATCTTCAGCTGGAGAGGGGAGGGGGACGTCCTGGGTTAAGACACTGGACCCCAGTGGGTCTCCGTGGACAAGCACGGACGCACCCTCTCTGCCTCTGTGGTTTCTGACAAACTGCTTCGCTCCTCTCAGCCTCGACTCTCCTACTCTGTGAAATGGGGATAGTGCGGACGGGCACCCACCAGGTTGCTCTGAAGAGGAACCGAGATGAGGCACACGGAGCACCGAGCCAACAGCCAGGGACAAGGGTCACGGGCTCCGGCGTTCCCGCTCTGGCGCCTCCCAGGGAAGCACTCGGAGAAACAGCGCTGCCAACGAGCCGGAGGAGCCAGCTGGATTGAGGGAGGGGGGCGGGAACCAAGATCGAACACCCAGATCACAGCCCGGCTGATCTGCTTATCTCAGCCACCTAAAGCGGCTGGCGCAGAGGCCTACGCCGCCGGCCCATCCAACTCCAAGGGCCGCAGCTGCCAAGAAAATGCCCGGAGCGTGCCTGGGTGCCTGGAGCCGAGATTAGAGATTAAGCTCCTGCTTCCCCTCTCATCAGCTGTAGTCATCTGTGGTTGAAGGGAAATGGGCAGTTTCCATTCATTCCCCTCATCTGAATATTTTATCTCGATTTTCTTTCATCGGGTAACATCTCATAAGGAGAAAAAAGTTGGGATAAGCATCGTTTAGACAACTAAAGTGCCCTTCGCAATGTGAGAGTCTAAGGCAGGTGCTGGCGTGCTAACGGGCTCTCTTCCCTCCCCCCGCACTCCGGCCAGAGCACTTCCCTCTGAGGGCCCGGTAACCAGACAGCCCTCCCAGGGCTTCACAGGAGGGTGACCGGGTACTGAGGACTGAGGCCTGGGCTCTAAGGGGATGATTTCAACGCTCTGCAGAAAGAAGGAAAATCAGGAGTTGGCTCTCAACCCATTAGCTCGGAGAGTTCACCGAGGACATTACAACGGCATCAAGCCCTTGTTTCTTGGAACTACAGAACGGTGAGGCCGCTCATTAAACAATTACACTGTTCAACAGCGTCATCTCGCTCTCTGGTTAAAAACTCGCAGTCTCGCCTCTCGGCAGGGGAGGCGACTTTCAGTCTCAGCTCTGCCCGAGGCTGCGTGACTTTGGTCGGTCTCTGGGCCATAATTTTCTCTGGATAAGAAGGCAGATTGGAGACACTAAGGCAGTGGTTCTCAACCTTGGCTGCACATTAGAATCACCTGGGAACCTTTTTAAAATCCTGATTTCCGGGCCTCATCCTCCGGAAATTCTGTTTCTTTGTTACTCATGTTGTGGCCCCACCCCATAACAACCATTCCTAGTTTCTCGGCAGCAGGAGGGCTGCCTGAGGTGGGCGACGGGCTACTCACCTGACTCATGAAGTCCGACGGGGCTTCGTGCTCGTCCCAAGGCTGGCTCCGCCCCATCACTTTCCCCGTTCCCACGAGGGCGTCGTGTTCCTCCTCAGGCCCCTTGTGTCTCTTCCTCATGCCGGCTCCCAGCTCGTAGGCATCCGATGTCAGCAGGGGCTTGCTGCTCAGCCTGCAACCAGAGGCACCGCCGGTCAGCACCCTGTCGGGCAGCACCCAGGGCTGGGGTCCGCCCTCATGGCCCCAAGGGTGGGCTCCGGATGGTGACGGACACAGTGACCAGTCTGGGGAGACGGATCCTGTGAAACCATGGGACTGGGACTCTGGGATGTTTGTGAATGGGAACGAAGAAAAACTCCCAGGCAGTACCCTCTGCTGGCCTTTCTCTCCCATGTCCCTGCACACACGCTCACACACACAGCTCTGCATGGCCAGATGCCTCTTGAACCAAAATGTGCCAAGAGCAAGGACCAGACATGCCAAGGAAATCCGCCAGCCGGGGAGGGCGACCAAAGTCAAGAGCTGACATGAAGGCAGCCCCTGGTGGGTCTCTGCACCCTTGGGGGCGAGCACGCGGTCGGCCGTGTCCTGTCGAGGACTTCTCGTGGCTGCTCTAAGCTAACCCCTCACCAGTAAGAACAGTAAGAGCAGCTAATTGTTTCCTGGTGCTACTGTCTCCTCCCACGTTAGCGCTTTGTATTTTAGCCACAGGACAATGCTTTATTCCATGTGCTATTTTGTTGTTGTTGTTGCTAATCCTCACCCGAGGGTGTTTTTCCATTGATCTTTTAGAGAGAGTGGAAGAGAGAGGGAAAGACAGAAACATCGATGTGAGAGGAACACATCCACTGGTTGCCTCCTGCATGAGCCCAGACCAGGGCCCGGGCTGGGGAGGAGCCTGCAACCAAGATACGTGCCCTTGACCAGAATCGAACTCAGGACCCTTCGGTCCGCAGTCTGACGCCCTACCCACTAAGCCACACTGGCCAGGGCAATATACTATTTTTTATAGAGAGTCTGAGGCCTGAAAAAGCCAACACCTGGCCAAGGGCACAGCGACGGTTGGAGCTGGGGCTCAGAAGCAGGAAGCGCGACCCCCCAGGCCACGCTCCTACCCCGCAGGGTGCGTGTTGTGTTGCCGCCGCCCACCCGCTCTCCTCCCCAGGAGCTGCTCTCCCTCCCGAGTGGCTGATGGGCGTTTCTCCCTCTCCATCCCTCAGGCATGAACATCCAGGAGAGAGCAGTGCAATCCCTGTGGCCCTTGGGGCTGCCTCCTCCTGAGAAGACCTGTAGCAGACCCCCCCCCCCCCAATGAAGGCATCCCGCGGCCCTCTGCTCCCTCAGGCCAAGCCCCGGCCACCTAGCGTCGCCTGCACTGAAGTCTCGGGCTGAGGCGCACACCACCTCTTCCCCGAATGGGCCTCCTTCAGCTCCTGCTGCTCCGGCCCCGGGGAGACCACAGCATCCTTCCTACCCCGCCCGGCACGCAGGAAAAGCTCTGGGTCTGGCCCGCCTTCAACACGCCCCCAGGGGCCACACAAACTCCCGCTGCCGCTCACAGAGCTTGTGCCCAGCGTGCACGAAGGAGGTGGCGCGGGTCACCCAGGAGGGCGGGAATGACACCGCCCGCACGAAGAGAACCCGAGAACCGAGTGACCGCACCAGCTGGAGCGCACCCCAGGACTGGGCTCAGGGCCCTCCACGGGGAGGGGCAGGACAAGAGCGGGAGTTGGTCACGAGCCACGGAGGAAGCGGGCGTGGCAGGACCAAGTGTGAAAGAAACACTGGGGCGCCGGCGCGGAAACCTCTCGCTGGGTCACTGCCGCTGCTGACCAGGGGCTGCCGGCGGGCGAGTCTGCCTGTCCGCCCCGCCGCTCCCCTGGCTCACCCTCTGCTCCCTGAGACCTAGCAAACCCGGGGGCCAGAGCCCAAGGGACTCGCGGTCCCCGCGCCCTGACGCAGGCCCTGCGCGGGCCCGCGCGCCTCCCTCCGGGCTCTGTGCCAGTCCCCGACCCACCGAGGGGCCAGCCTTACTTTCCGCTACTGTTGCGGCTCTTCCCTCTCTTGCGGGGGGGCGACAGGGCGCTCAGGGCGTGGGTCCGTTTCCGTGGCCTGCCAGGGCCTCTGCGTGCCAAGCTTCTATGGGGTTCCTCGAGCCTGTCCCTTAAAGAGAATCACACGCTTGGCTAGACGATGCGCCCACGTCACTCGGGTCCACACACACCTCGGCCTACACCGCGGACCTACTGAGCGCCACGCTAGCCCCAGGGCGGGGCAGGGGCGGGCACTCACTCGGACTCGCGGCGCCGCTGCAGCTTCACCAGCTCGCGCTGCTTCTCCTTGTACTGCCGCTGCACCTCGGCCAGCCGCATGCGGAAGTCCAGCTCCATGGCGTCCATGTGCTCCAGGGAGGACTTCATGGCGAACATCTGGGGAGAGAGGGGGGGTGAGGACGCCGGCACCCACCGGCTCCCGCCGCCTGCTCAGACAAGGGGGCGGCGAGGCTTCATGGCCAAGACCAGGCGCCCAGCTCAGACCCACTTCTGCCCCTTCTGACCGTGGCCTTGGGCAAAACAGACACCTCATCTGCACGACAGAGACCGGAAGACCAGCTTTGACGGCTGCGTCAAGGCCAACTGACCCGTAACAACAGCTCAGGCAGTGCGGCCACCACAGCACCCGCCACAGGTGGAGCTCAGAGACCCAAGCCACCACCCAAGGCCCCCAGGGAGTGAGGGGCACAGCCAGGCCCCCCCTTCCCAGCCCGTCAGGCTGCCGCCAGGGGACACGCCCAACAGGTGAGCCGAGGCCCAGAAGTAAACAGCTTGCCCAGGACCGCACAGGAGGCAGTGGTGGAAGCTGGACCTGGATCGGCCCCTCCACCTCCAAAGCCAGCCATGCCCCACGGTGGCGTCTCTGGGGACCATCTCAGCCCCACCCCACAGGCCCCGGGCAGGAAGCGTGGGCCCAGAACCTCACCCGCTCCTCCTTCTTCTGCATCCAGCTGTACTTCTTGTTGGGGTTCAGCTCCCGCGGGAGCCGCAGGCTCTTGAGCGGGTCCACGAAGGGGCTGTCCAGCACCTCCTTGAGCATGTGGCTGCTGGCCACCAGCAGGCTCTCCAGCCAGGGCACGCCCGGGGACAGGACTGCGGGGCGCTGCAGCCAACCCCCCTCGAACGCCCAGCAGGGAGGAGAAGAGGCCCACAGTCTTCACTATCCGACTGCTTCCAAGTGAACGCGAGTTCTCATTTAATTGACGTTTTCTCTGGAATGTCACACATGATCGCTTTTGGACTGTCCCATGTGTATGGACCCACGAAGCCGACATGAATGATCATGAACAACCCGGCTCCTCACCCTGGGGCCACCTCCCCTCTGGTGGGCTCTGCGGGCGCTGCCCGGCTGCCTGGCGGGCGTCCAGCCGCACCGGCCTTGCCCACTAGGTGTCAGCAGCGCTCCCAGCCGGACCAGCCTGTCACTGCCGCTGAGAGCCACGGGTTTGCTCTTCTCTCTCCTGAAGGAAACTGAGGCCGCCCAGCCGTGAACCCACCTCTCCCCTCCCAGGCCGCTCCCGTGGGGGTGTCAGAGGGAACCCGAGGCCCGCCCTGAGGTGACATCTGTGTAACACCCTTCAAGGCCTCGCAGGACCCTCGGCTGCTGGGTAAGGCTGCTCCCGGGCAGAGGAGGGGCCCACGGGCGGCTGCGTCACCCCCTCCCCCTCCCATGAGCCAGTCTTGCTGGGGCTCTCAGGACCGACACCGCAGTGCAGCCTGATGACCAGTGCCAGCTGCTACGGTGACTGTGTCCCCCCAAAATCACCTGTTGAAGTCTGAACCCCAGTACCTAGGATGTGACTTTATTTGGAGATAGTCTTGAAAGATTTGATCAAGGTAAAGTGACGTCATGGGGTGGCCCTCACTAATATGACTACATCCTCAGAAGAGATGAGGCCACGGAGACAGAGGGACAGCCACGTGAGGGCACAGAGAACACGTCCGTCTACACGCAGGACTGAGGCCTCGGAGGAACCAGCCGGCCCACACCTGGCTCTCGGACCCCAGCCTCCGGGACCCTGCGACACAGCCTGCTGGCTTCACTAAGGTGGGGCGACCGGGGCCAGAACCCTGACCTGTGCCGGCACCCCACGGGGCCAGGGCAGTCCCGGGCTGAGGCCGGCAGGCGGGAGGGAGGGGTGGTC